TGTATGTGGTTATTGTTCGGGACGAACAGTACTAAGGAAGGGGCAGTGTTGCGTCAGCGAAGTCACATGACTAGTGTCACGCCATGTTTCTAGAACTATCCTGTACCTTGGCGAATGCTCTTTCAATTACTAGATATAGGGTAGTCTGGTGTATAAAAGAGGGTGACAACGTGACGGGATAATAATGTAATGTGTGTGTACCTAATGAGTAATTGAACTGCAGTCAGAGAGAGACGTATTGTTGAAGTTAACGTTCGTTATAGCGTTTGTTTTAGCGTGATTGTTGAAAATAAGTGTATCGTAAAGTTGTTTTCGGAAAGAATAAACCAGTTTTATTAAGTAAGGACTTTTGCCGCTAAAGTTTCGTCGGAACTAAGTTACGGAAAGTTAATTAACAAACGGTGATGTAACAATTAGTTAAACCTTTATTAACTTAAGCACAACCTATATTCATACAGAGATAAATTAACTGTAACTTGTGTATGTTTTTTGCTTTAGTTTAGTTATAGCTAAATTTTACCGTAGTTACTGCTACATAAACTTATAATGTTACTCTGCGACCTAACGTTAGGCCTTTTTAAAAACTAATAAGCTTTTAATATGTTGTACAAAATGTCTACTAAAGATCCGCCATTTGTTCATGCATGCCTATTTATATATTAAGGTGCGCGCACATTTTCACGACAGAAAAAAAAAATTATGATACATCGCCGTTAAGTATATGCGTTTTAATATGTAATTTCAATTATATATATATATATATATATCTGTTCACTTCGTTTATACATAGTACATTCCTGGAAATACATCACATACACATATATATTTACATATAATTTACAAACTACGCCAAACATAAATACAACGTCGAACAGATATATAAAACTGAGGTTCAAGTTATAATGTGGAAATCGTAATATCTATCCCATGAATATTGTTATTTGATATTGGGGAACTGGACACAAGTAAATCCACCAAATGATAGAAAGGAATGAATGAATGTTTTTGATTATGCACAAAGCTACACAAGGGCTATCTGTGCTCTGCCCAC